ATAGGGAAGTCACAAAAATAAATCAAAGTTAAACACTGAAAATAGGAAAATGGATATCAATATGTAAAAGATAACAACATTAAAACAAAAAGAGGGACTTAAAAAATGTAGACATAGATTTTTCATATGGAGAGGAAGTCAAGGCAATACAAAGAAATAAAAGACTAGTATAAACTTAGAAAACTAGGGGTAAATATTAAGGTAACCACAAAGGAAACTAACAATCCTATAAATCAAGATAAAAAACTAGAAAAATATAAAGACTCAGCAAATACAAAATCAACAACAATGAAAATGATGAAAATACATAAAGAAAAGTGACTGAGCACAGAAAATTAAGTGGAACAAAGAAACTGTGAACAACACACAAAACAAGACATCAAAATGACAGCAGGAAATTCATACCTGTCAATAATTATGCTGAATGTAAATGGACTAAACACACCAATAAGGAGACATAGAGTAGCAGAATGGATTAAAAAACACGATCCGTCTACAGGAGACACAACTTAGACTTAAAGACACAAAGAAAGTAAAATTCAGAGGATGGAAAACACATATCAAGCAAACAACACTCAAAAAAGAGCAGAAGTGGCAGTATTAATCTCTTACAAAATAGACAAATGATAAGGAGGGACCCTATATAATGATTACAGGATCAATACACCAGGAGGACATAAGTATAATAAAAAATATATGCACCCAACAACAGGGCTCCAAAATACATAAAACAAACTAACAGCATTGAAAAGAGAGATAGACAGCTCCACAATAGTAGTAGGAGACTTCAGCACACCACTTTTCGGTGAAGGACAGAACATCCAGAAAGAAACTCAGTAAGGACACGGAAGATATAAATGCTACAGTCAACCAACTTGATTTCATAGACATATTCCGAACAATGCACCCAACAGCAGCCAAGTATACTTTCTTTTCCAATGCACATGGAACATTCTCCAGAATAGACCACATATTAGGCCATAAAGTAAGCCTTACCAGAATCCGAAGCATCAAAATATTACGAAGCATCTTTTCTGACGATAAAGCCATAAAAGTAGAAATCAGTAACAGAAAAAGCAAGGAAAAGAAATTAAACAGGTGGAAACTGAAAAACACCTTGCTCAAAAACTACGGGTTATAGAAGCAATTAAGGATGGAATAAAGAAATTCATAGAATCAAATGAGAATGAAAACACATCCTACTAGAACCTTTGGGACACAGCAAAAGCAGTGCTCAGAGGTCAGTTTATAGCAGTAAATGCATACATCCAAAAGGAAGAAAGGGCCAAAATCAAAACACTAACCCTATAACTGGAACAGGTATAAAGAGAGCAGCAAAAGAAGCCCTCAGGCACCAGAAGGAAGAAAAATCATAAGAATTAGAGCAGAATTAAATCAAATAGAGAATAGAAAAACAATTGAAAGAGTTAACAAGACCAAAAGCTGGTTCTTTGAAGAGATCAACAAAATTGATAAACCATTGGCCAAACTGATAAAAGACAAACAGGAGAGGAAGCAAATAATCTGTATAAGAAATGAGATGGGTGATATCACAACAGACCCTGCTGAAATTTAAAGAATCATAACAGAATACTATAAAAAAAATTATACTATAACAAATTTCAAAACCTAGAGGAAATGGACAAATTTCTAGAAGCTCACTACCTACCTAAACTAACACAAACAGAGGTAGAACAACTAAATAAACCTATAACAAAAGAAGAGATTGAAAACAAAATTAAAAAACTCCCAACAAAAAAAACCCTGAACCGGACGGCTTCACTGGCAACTTCTACCAAACTTTGAGAGAAGAGTTAACACCACTACTACTAAAGATATTTCAGAGCATAGAAAAGGATGGAATACTCCTGAACCCATTCTATGAAGCCAGCATAATTCTGATACCAAAACCAAGTAAAGACAATACAAAAAATTATAATTATGAACCAGTATCCCCTATGAACATTGACGCAAAAATCCTCAACAAAATTCTACCGATAGAATTCAAAAAAATAATTCACCATGATCAAGTGGGATTTATACCAGGTATGCAGGGATGGTTCAACATTAGAAAAACAATCAGTGTAATCCATCACATTAATAACACAAAAGACAAGAACCACATGATCTTATCAATTGATGCAGAAAAGGCATTTGACAAAGTCCAACACCCATTCATGATAAAAACTGTCAACAAAATAGGATTAGAAAGGAAATTCCTCAGTGTAATTAAGAGTATTTATACAAAGCCAACAGCCAACATCATCCTAAATGGAGAGACGTTGAAAGCATTCTCCTTGAGAATGGGAAGAAACAAGGATGCCCTTTTATCACCATTCTTACTCAACATTGTGCTGGATGTCCTAGCCAGAGCAGTTAGGCTAGAAAGAGAAATAAAGGACATCCAGACTGGTAGGGAAGAAGTAAAAGTATCTCTGTTTGCAAATGATATGATCTGATACACAGAAAACCCCAAAGAATCCACAAGAAAACTACTGAAACTAATAGAAGATTTCAGCAAAGTATCCACATACAAGATAAACATCCAGAAATCAGTTGGATTCCTTTACACCAAATAGAGAACTTCGAAGAGGAAATCACCGAATCAGTACTATTCACAATAGCCCTCAAGAAGATAAAATACTTCTATCCAGAGATGGAAAAGACCTATACAATGAAAACTAGAAGACACTACTGCAAGAAACCAAGAGACCTGCATAAGTGGAAAAACATACTTTGCTCACGTATAGGAAGACTCATTATTGTGAAAACGTCAATTCTACCCAAAGTCATCTACAGCTACTATGCAATCCCAATCCAAATTCCAGCGATATTTTTTAATGAGATGGAAAAACAAATCACCAGCTTCATTTGGAAAGGGAGGAGTTCCCGGATAAGTAAAACATTACTCAAGAAGAAGTACAAAGTGGGAGGCCTCACACTACCTGATTTTAGAACCTATTATACCGCCACAGTAGTCAAAACAGCTTGGTACTGGTACAAAAACAGATACATATACCAATGGAACAGAATTGAGGATCCAGACATAAATTCATCCACCTATGAGCAGCTGATATTTGACAAAGGCCCAAAGTCCGTTACTTGGGGAAAAGACAGTCTCTTTAATAAATGGTGTTGGCATAACTGGATATCCATCTGCAAAAATCTGAAACGAGATCCATGCCTCACAAAGTGCACAAAAACTAACTGAAAATGGATCAAAGACCTAAATATAAAATCGAAAACGATAAAGATCATGGAAGAAAAAATAGAGACAATGCTAGGAGCCCTAATACATGGCATAAACACAATACGAACGATAAGTAACAATGCACAAGCACCAGAAGAGAGACTAGATAACTGGGAGCTCCAAAAAATCAAACAGTTATGCTCATCAAAAGACTTCACCAAAAGAGTCAAAAGACAACCTACAGACTGGGAAAAAAAAATTTGGCTGTGACAAATCCGATCATTGTCCAGTTTCTCAAATCTACAAGAAACTGCAAAACCTCAACAACAAAAAGACAAATAACTCAATTAAAAAATGGGCAAAGCAGATGAACAGGCACATCACCAAAGATATTCAGGCTGCTAACATACATGTGAAGAAATGATTGCGATCATTAGCCATTAGAGAAACGCACACCAAAACTACAATGAGATGTCTCACCCCAATAAGGCTAGCATTAATCCAGAAACCACAAAATAATAAATGCTGGAGAGGTGGTGGAGAGACTGGAATACTTACACAACGTTGGCGGGAATGTAAAATGGTACAGCCACTTTGGAAATCGATTTGTCGCTTTCTTAAAAAGCTAGAAATAGAAGTACCATTCGATTCAGCAATCCCGCTGCTTGGAATATATTCTAGAGAAATAAGAGCTGTCACACAAATAGATATATGCACACACATGTTCATCGTAGCACTGTTCACGATAGCAAAAAGGTGGAAACAACCTATGTGCCCATCAACAGACGAATGGATAAACAAATTATGGTATATTTACACAATGGAATACTATGCTTATAACAGAGGAATCTGGAGGGCATTATGCTGAGTGAGTTTAGTCAGTCACAGAAGGACAAATATTGTATAAGTCCACTATTATAAGAATTCAAGAAAAGGTTTAAACACAGAAGAAAACAATTTTTGTTGGTTATGGGGGTGGGAGGGAGGGTGAGGGTTATTCACTAACTAGATAGTAGACAAGAATTATCTTAGATGAAGGAAAGGAATACCAAAGACACAAGGAAAGTATTAGCTTAAGAGACAGAAAGGGCCACATAAACCAGAGACTTCATTAGCCTGAGACCAGAAGAACTAGATGGTCCCAGGCTACCACCAATGACCACCCTGACAGGGAACACAACAGAATGTCCCTGATGGAGCAGGAGAAAGGTGGGGTACCGAACTCAAATTCTAGTAGGAAATCTAGACTTAATGTTCTGACTGAGAATAGAGGAATCCCGGAAAGCATGGCCCCCAGAGTCTCTTATCAGCCCAGAACTAAAACAATTTCCGAGGCCAACTCTTCAGACAGGGATTGGACTGGATTGTGGGACATGATACTTGTGAAGAGTATGCTTCTAATCTCAAGTAGATACAAGAGACTAAACGGGCAGCTTCTGTCCGGAGGTGAGATGAGAAGGCAGAGAGGGTTAGGAGTTGGTTGAATGGACATGGGAAATCGAGTAGAAAGGGGGAGTGTGCTGTCATAGTATAGGGAGAGCAATTAGGGTCACATAACAATGTATGTATAAATTTTTATATAAGAGACTAACTTGAAATGTAAACTTTCACTTAAACTACAATAAACAAAAAAAAAATTGTAGTCGTGTTGTGAAAACATCTACTACATTTAGAAAAATAAGGAATTTTAAAATATCTGTATTTAAAAGAACATAGAACAGTTCATGTTTAACATAAAAATTTTCTTAAATGAAGGTCTGTGTCTTTCATGAAACGATATTAATGTCTTTTGAAATATTTTCTGTCAAAGGGATTTTTAGCTAATCAGATGAGAGCTGAAAACTTGAAAGATGCATCTGTATTGCCTGATTTGTGCCTGAGTCATGCAAATCAGTTAATGATTATGTTGCAAAACCATAGAAAACTGTTGGATATTAAACAGAAGTGTACCACTGCCAAACAAGAACTAGCAAATAACCTGCATGTCAGATTGAAGTAAGTGATTCTACTATAACTGATTTAGCATGTTTAGAGTTGATGTTTATGTTTATTTCTCCCAAATGATTGGGAAAATTTCCCTTATCCCTTTATTGAAATAATTGTGATTGAAATACAGTTTGTATGTCTTGTAATTTCTGTTCCTTAGCATCAGCAATAAGGATTCTTTTTAGCAAACTTGAGAATGTTGAATATAATTGATTTCATTCTGTAGGTGGTGTTGCTTTGTAATGCTTCATGCCGATCAAGATGGAGAGAAATTGCAAGCTTTGCTTCGCCTTGTAATAGAGCTGTTAGAAAGAGTCAAGATTGTTGAAGCTCTTAGTACAGTTCCTCAGATGTACTGCTTAGCTGTTGTTGAGGTTGTCAGGAGAAAAATGTTCATAAAACACTACAGGGAGGTAAGCAGGCCAAATTCAATTTTAATTATATATGAACCTTAATAAATTGGTATATGTTCCTTAATAAATTGGTATATGTTATTAACATGGTATATGTTATTGATATATGTTATTAACATAAGCTTTTCTCTTCTAGTGGGCTGGTGCTTTAGTGAAAGATGGAAAGCAATTATATGAAGCTGAAAAATCAAAAAGGGAATTCTTTGGGAAATTATTCAGTAAGTGCTTTTCATTAATAAGTTAAATATCATTACAGTTTAAAGAAAAAATACTATTTTTATTTTGTAAACATGAATAATAGGATTTTGAAAGCAAAACTATGTCAGTTGTGCTATATAGAAAGTCCTAGTATTTCCATGTATGAAACTATTATAGTATAGTATTCATTTAGGAATTTTCATTTGTATGGTATCTGATTAAACTGAAATTTAAATATTAAAATATTTATCTGAAAATTACTATAGCTGATGTTCATTTAGGAATTTTCATTTCTCAGTTATCCAAGAAAATGTTATGAAATTAAGAATGACAGCTATACTTAAAGTTAATCCTTTGTGGTACCTTGTAACTCAGTTGGAGTCCTTTTGCCTTGGAATAATACTGCATTTGAACATAAAATATATTTTTAAAAATTATGGATAGTATTTTGAAGAATTAATAAGATTATTTTGTAAAGCTTCAAAGCAGACATATATGTGTAATTCCCCTCCCCCCCCAGATGTTAGCTTTGTTGTTAGGTGCCATCGAGTCGGTTCTGACTCACAGCGATCCTATGTAGTGACCTTATGTACAGCAGAACGAAATGCTGCATGGTCCTGCACAATCCTCACAGTCATTGTTTTGCTTGAGCCCATTGTTGCAGCTGCTGTGTAAGTCCATCTCATTGAGGGTCTTCCTCTTTTTCACTGATCTCCTTTTAGCTTTAGTGCATAGCTATTAATTACCATTGAAATCTAGAGAAACATTCCCTTAAAGTCTATAGAGGTGAATCTCCTACTGTATTTTAAATATACAACATCATCAAATTTTAACTTAAGCTTTTTAAAAACCAGAGGTAATTTTTTACTTTAAGAAGTTCTGATATAACCATATTACTTATTTTTTTACACAGGGAAGTCTTTCTTAAGAAATCGTCTGTTTAGGGGACTGGACTCCTGGCCCCCTTCCTTTTGTGTACGTATTTATTTTCTAACCTTGATTAACTGGCTGTTTTGAAACTTCTTCTCTCTCTCAAAAATGTAGGTATTTATCAAGGGTTTGCAGTTTTCTTTTGTTTTTAATCAACATAAAAAATGTTATAGGTTGTAAAAGGCAGTTGGCACGCGGTTTTAAGATAATCATAATTTTGAGTCTTCATAACAGAGGAAGAGACCTCATACTATATTCTTTGAATTGGTAGGAATAGCTCTTTTGTTCTTTTGTTGTTGTTCTTTCCTCCTTTCTTTCATATTTTGACAAATAAGAATAGGATGGCTCTTCACTTAGTGTTCATTGGAATTAAACCATGAAAAGTTAGCTTGTTATATTCTGAGGGCCATGATCTGAGAAGGGGCAATGTGACAGGCAGGGGTTCCCACACTCCTTTTTCCAGAAACCTTTTTTTTTTTTTTTTTTTTAAAGTGAAAGAGCATCTTGACATATCTTATAGGTATGCCTGAGTAATGAGTAAAATAATTGAAGTTATTTAAAAAGGTGCAATTTTTGACAGTAATATAAAGGAAGGGATAGTAGTATTTACCAGTTAATATTTTTAAAAGTACCTGAAATTGACTGTGAGTTTATATTTTGGAAAATACAGCATGGTAAAGGAAAAGGCAAGAAAAAAGTAGAACATAGAAAAAGAAAATGTTTCCATGTTATAGCACCAGGACATGCTAACAGGTGATAGGAATAGATTTAGGGCTAGATAGATCTTCATGTTCATGCTGTATAGGTCAAGGTAAATTAGGCTATGAACTAGTAAAACAGGTGTCTTCATTTAATGTTGATAGGAGTGCTAGAATTCCCATAAAAAGATACTGAAAACAGAGGAGAGGAGGAAAAAGAAAACTGATTGATTACCAACAGCTAATGTTTCATTTATTAAAGATTCAAAAAATTACTATACCGTATCTTTACTGAAGAGTACTGAGCTATCTGATTCTTCCTTAAGTGTGATTAGATCATTTGAAGCATTTTTGTTTTATATATTTGTTAATATATGTAAATTCAGTTTGTTTTATTGAATTTCATTATAGCTAAAGTCTACTTATAAATTTGTCCTTTATGTATTTTGACAAATTATTGTATTTGTATAGACTCAAAAGCCTCGAAGGTTTGACTGTGAACTTCCAGATATTTCATTAAAAGATTTACAATTTCTGCAATCATTTTGTCCTTCAGAAGTTCAGCCATTCCTCAGGTAAATGTCATTAGTATCAGTTATCACCTTAAAATGTTCTCATTATTCTCGAGCCGTGGAAAGTAGCACCAGTACTCATAAGAGGTTCCAGGATAGCAAAATATTTTAGCATAGATTGGCTTTCATGTGACTGATTGTGGAAGTTTCTGGGGAACATAAAAATTAATCAGAAAAGCTAAAGTAGAAGAAAATTACACCTTACCTGCAGCTTTTTTTCTTTCTTCCCTTTTTTTTTTTTTTTTTTGGTAGTAATTCTTTCTTTGTATATTGTGGGAGATTTCTGATTTATCAGTTTATTCTTTACACTCAGATTTAAAAGGGCTGATAATGCTCCAGTTTTTTTCAACATATATTGAGATATTTGGTTTTGGTAACTTGATTATCTGTTTTTTCATTAAGAAATAAATCTAATTTGGTTGCATTCTGTTTCAGGGTTCCCTTACTTTGTGACTTTGAACCTCTACACCAGCATGTTCTTGCTCTGCATAATTTGGTAAAAGCAGCACAAAGTTTGGATGAAATGTCACAGACCATTACAGATCTTCTGAGTGAACAAAAGGCAAATTGATTTCTTTCAAACGGTTCTTTTCATTAATGTAATAAGGTGTTGCTGCAGCTCTCTAAGCCTTCCCCTCTGTTTTGCAGACCTCTGCAAGTCAGGCATCCCCACAGTCTGCTTCTTCACCAAGGATAGAAAGTACAACAGGAATAACAACTGCTACCTCACCAAGAACTCCTTCTCCACTCACTGTTCAGGATCCCTTATGTCCTGCAGTTTGTCCCTTAGAAGAATTATCTCCAGATAGCATTGATGCACATACCTTTGATTTTGAAACTATCCCCCATCCAAACATAGAACAAACTCTTGAACAAGGTTCTTTAGACTTGGATTCATTAGCAGAAAGTCCTGAATCAGATTTTATGTCTGCCGTGAATGAGTTTGTAATAGAAGAAAATTTATCATCTCCTAATCCTATAAGTGATCCACAAAGCCCAGAAATGATGGTGGAATCACTTTATTCTTCAGTTATCAATGCAATAGATAGCAGACGTATGCAGGGTACAAATATTTGTGGTAAAGAGGATTCAGGAGATCATGCTTCCAATGTCCAGTTGGAAAAATGTAGGGTGGTTGCCCAAGACTCTCACTTCAGTATACAAACCATCAAGGAAGACCTTTGCCACTTCAGAACATTTGTTCAAAAAGAGCAGTGTGACTTCTCAAATTCTTTAAAATGTACAGCAGTAGAAATAAGAAACATTATTGAAAAAGTAAAGTGTTCTCTGGAAATAACACTACAAGAAAAGTATCAAAGAGAACTACAGACTTTAAAAAATGAATATGAAGCTAAACTTGATGCACTAATAAAGGAGAGTGAAGAAAATGAAAACAAAATTAAAAAGTTGAAAGGAGACCTAGTATGTCTTGAGGAGGTTTTGCAAAATAAAGATAATGAATTTGCTTTGGTTAAGCATGAAAAAGAAGTTGTCATCTGCCTACAGAATGAAAAGGATCAGAAACTGTTAGAGATGGAAAATATAATGCGCACTCAAAATTGTGAAATTAAAGAACTGAAAGAGTCCCAAGAAATAGTGCTAGGAGACTTAAAAAAGCTCCATGTTGAAAATGATGAGAAGATGCAGTTATTGAGAGCAGAACTTCAGTATTTAGAGCAAAGTCATCTTAAGGAATTAGAGGACACTCTGCAAGTCAGGCATACGCAGGAGTTTGAGAAAGTTATGACAGAGCACAGAGTTTCTTTGGAGAAATTAAAAGAGGAAAATCAACACAGAATTGATCAGATACAAGAGTCTCATGCAACAGTTGTCCAAGAAAAAGATCAACAGCTACAGGAATTAAAACTCAAGGTTTCTGATTTGTCTGACATGAGATGCAAGCTAGAGGTTGAACTTGCATTGAAGGAAGCTGAAACTGACGAAATAAAACTTTTGCTGGAAGAAAGCAAAGCCCAACAGAAGGAGACCTTAAAATCTCTCCTTGAACAAGAGACAGAAAATTTGAGAACAGAGATAAGTAAGTTAAACCAAAAGATTCAGGATAATAATGAAAATTACCAGGTAGGCTTAGCAGAGCTAAAAACTTTAATGACAATTGAAAAAGATCAGTGTATTTCAGAGTTAATTAGTAGACATGAAGAGGAATCAAATATGCTTAAAGCTGAGTTAAATGAAGTAACATCTTTGCATCAGCAAGCATTTGAAATAGAAACAAAACTGAAGGATCAAATAGTTGAACTACAAAATAAATTGGAGTCAGAATTGAGTACTCTTGAGAAACAAAAAGATGAAAAAATGATTCAACAAGAAGACAGATATGAAGCTATTATCCATAAACTTGAAAAGGACAAAGAAAAATTGGTCATGAGCCAGGACCAAGACAGAGAACAGTTAATTCAGAAACTTAATTCTGAAAAAGAAGAAGCCATTAAGACTGCTCTCAATGAATTTAAACTGGGGAGAGATGCTGCTGAAAAAGAGTTACTAGAAAAAGTTCGACATCTTGAGACTCAGTTAGCAAAAAGGTAAGAAATAAGTTTATAGTCTGGAATTATAAAATTAATATATTAATAGTTCAAATTTTATATTTGCAATCATTGTACCTTGATTTACTCATTTGCCTTAAGTAAATGTAGCAATTTTGGGATACTTTAATGAAGGAAAACTTAATTTTTAAACAGTATTTTGCCAACATTTAAAAAATAAGAGGCTACATAAATTTAGTTGTGACTTTTTGAAAAGTTTTAAACAGTATGGATTTTGAGAGAAATACTTCTTTGAAATTTAAAAAAATTTTTTTTTTGTACTTTAGATGAAGGTTTACAGAACAAATAGTTTCTCATTAAACAGTCGGTACACATACTGTTTTATGATATTGGTTAACAACCCCATGACATGTCAACACGCTCCCTTCTCAACCTTGGAGGACCTTTTTTTTGGTAAAAATATACATAGCCAGTTATACCATTTCGAAAGTTTCTGTATGTACAATTCAGTGACATTGATTACGTTCTTCCAGTTGTGCTGCTATTCTCACTATCCTTTTCCAAATTATTCCATCACCATTATCTTCAGCTCACTACCCCCTAGGCTTCCCATTAAATCTTGAGTTGCTGTTGTCAGTTTGATCTCACATAGATAGTTCTTTTTTTTTTTGGACCTTAGATGAAGGTTTGCAGAACAAATAGTTTCTCATTAAACAGTTAGTACACATATTACCCTATGACAATGTTTAACAACCCCACGACATATCAACACTGTCCCTTCTCAACCGTGGGTTTTTGGGTTTCCTATCACCAGCTCTCCTGTCCCCTCCTGCCTTGAAATGGTTTTTAGAAGTTTCTTTTTTTGTTTTTTAATTCATAAATCTCTGCTTTCTTTTGCTTTATTTGCAGGGTTTTTTTCCCTAAGTTATGCTTGTAAAAATTACTGTGTTTCTTTAAATTAGTATATATACATTAAAGACTACAATTTTCCCCTTAGCAGTGATTAAGCAAGAACTGAATTATAGATTGGGGTTTTCATCATTGTTAGTTTCTTGATATCATTACAATTTCAGTTGTTTCCTGTATGGTTAAAATGATGTTTTTACATTGCAGATTTGGTAGATTTTTATTATTATTGCCTGGTATTATTGCATTTTGATCATACAAAATGGTCTTTGTTATTTCTGTTTTTAAAAATTTATTGAGGTGTTTTGTGGTCTGATAAACATTTTTTTAGAACATAATCATTATACCAGTTAGTAATATCATTAATTTTTCTGAGAGAATATAGGCACGTATAGTCCATATTTTAACTTCTGTTTCTTGCTTTATCACTTTTAGTCAGTCTCTTGTGATTGACTCCCTGCTATGTAATATTCATAAATTGGTGAACAATTAAGCCTCCCCTTCTGTTGAAAACAAACTTTTTACATACTCTGGGCAAGTTAGTGGGTTTAATGTATATGCATGATTACAGAGCTGAGGGGCAAAGTTAAGGCCAGGCAAGCTGTAAATGAGGTATCAGGGATACAGATTGAAACAATGCCAAAGCTGATGTTTCTCAAAAGCTCTCTGGGAAGCTGCTGCAATACTCAAGAATCTCTTAAAAACTCTAGTAATCTGGCACAGTCTGCAGCAGCAAAGTGGGTAGTGTTCAGTTACTTGCCAAGAAGCTATTGTGAAACTGCATCTGGCTACAGCCACCTCTGGAGAATAAGCCTGGGCTTCTTTTCCACCTTCCATACCTAAGGCATGTTGTTTTCATTGGCGGACTTGAACCTGGAACTCTACAGGGGATTCTGGGAAATGTAGAATGTCAGCATTGGAATGCAGATGAGAAAGGGGTGAGGAGGGTAATGCCAGATGACAACAAACAACCCATCCCTGTACCCTCCCTTTTCAGCCAGCATTACTGTATATATCTCCTTTACCATATTTAACTTCTAAATAAAGACACTTAAAATATCTCTCTTCACCCTCTCTTCAGAAGGTGAGACTTAAACTTCTGAACATTAGCCATCCTAGAGTGAACTTTCTGGTGTTCATTCCTCTTTCTGTTCAGTCATATCACTCTTTGATATTCTCTAGATTAAATGCTAAATGTAAGATTAGCTATCGTTATCATACCTAATATTACATACCAGGGAAGGAGAAAGGGATAAAGAATCGATTAACATGTACAGGCTTGATCACTAGAGTCTTTATTTCTGTAATTAGCCTTATAACTCTAGTAGATATTTAAAGCTTCCTTCTATTATCCATTCCATCTTTAGCCAGTATACCTCAGCTGATTCTACTTCTTTACCTGATAGGCATGACTCAAACCTTTGTTTCTCAAGAAACTGCCATTAGTGATCCTTCTTGTATACAGTTGCTGTAGCTTTTCCTTAACTTTTGGATGTGGGAGTGCCAAGAGACGCCCTGGAAAATCCCCTGGGTCCAGTTGCATTCTTCCCTACCCTTGTTTAATAGGAGCATCCCGTTTTCATTTGATAAGTAGGTTCAGTCACCTCATCCTGTACAGCAGCCTCCTCCTTTGCCTGTTGGCTCAGTGGCATGGTGAGCCTGAGGTAGCCAAGTGGTAGTTTCACCTTCCAGTTTAGTGGTAGCCTTGTTGTGCTTCCTGGTAAGATAATTATTTTGGAGGCAATTAAGTCAGCTTTCTAATTTAATGTAGCCCATGGTTATTAGAGACAGGAAGCAAAATTTTTGCTAATCACTCATCATGGTAGTAGTAATAGTTACTCCATAGTCCTTGATTCTCACATCTATGTATTCTGACTGTGGAAGAATTAGCGCCATAGTGTTTCTGGTTCAGAGCATATACTACATTCTTTAGGACATTATCTCAGCCTTGGGAGATGCAACCCATATGACACTAACTGAGGCTTCAGTAGATTGGTCCACAATTGTATCAGGCCAGCTCCTTTACAGATTGGCTTATTTGTTAAGACCAGTGACTTCCATGGGTATGAGTGCTACATTTCTTTCACTGTAAAATGAATTAATTCACTTGGTCAGAAGTAATTCTAGTGGGATACAATAGCAATGAGTAAGACATTTTGTAAATTCAGGAATAGTGATTTTGACAGAAATATTGTGAGCATGGAAGGTTAATCCATATGAGGAATAACTGTTCTTCTGAAGACAGATTGCTGTCCCTTTTGTGATGGAAGTGGTTGAGTGTAATCAACCAGCTGGCAAGTGGCTGGCCTGCTCCCTAGGAAACACTGCAGGAGGTGGGGGCTCCATGTTAGCTAAGCAATCAACAGTGGTGGTAGCCAGATCAGCTTGTTGGGTGGAAATCCATGTTGTTGTGCCAATGCATAATGTCACTTCCTGCCCCCATGGACACTTCGTTCATGAGCCTGTTGAACAGGAGCTGGTGTGGTGGGGTAAAGAGATTGGTTGATACCTACTGAATAATTCACCTTGGTTGTGTGATTATTGTGATGATCCTGTGCAGTAGGACATAAATATCTTCACACTTTGTGCCCATTTCAAGAAGTTCATCCAGATTCCCTTTCCACAACTAGTTTTTAATCTTGTATCTTCCAAGTTTGACCATTCAGTCAAGCCTTTAGCTAGTCTCCATAAATCAGTGTCTATCTGTAGCCCTGGCCATTTCTCCCTTTCTTCAACTTCAAGTGCGCTGCTTGACTTATCACCACTGTGATTCCCCTTCACTATTGTTCTTCAGGGCTACCCCCTCAGTGGGGCTCTAACACTTCAGTTGTGCTTTTGAATAGTGCCAGCATATTGCGCAGAATCATCAGTAAACCAGCGCCACCATTATTTTTCCCTTATATTGAACATTATAGTTATGGATGGAGAGAAAGGAGATAATGTAGCAGGAATAGGTACCCTGGAGATCTGAACCTATTATACCTTTCCAGTGCCTTTAGGACTTTTTTTTTTTTTTTTTAACCTCAGTTGCATATAGGCCATTTCCAACTGATGACAGGTGCTGCTGGGTACACTCCCTTTCATGCTTGATGGGTCAAACAATACCCACTGTATGAAAGGCAACTCAGGTTGCATGATAACTGATGAGCCTGTGGTCAAGTTCACTTTCTACGAGGGCCCAGTAGCAAACCGTAAGCTGTTTTGCAAGAGGCAAATAGTTATCTCCTCCAAAATCCTAAGGATCTCAATGATAATTCTCCCATAGCACCTGCCAGAGGCTACATACTACATCAATTTCTGCTGCAGACACTGCAAACACCATTGGATCTTCTGGGAAGTATGGCCCAAGTGGCAGAGCAGCTTGCACATGCATCTGGATTGCAAGATGCCTCTTTGCTCTGTGTCCTACGCAAGAACAGGCAGTCTTTTAAGTAAATGGATCAGAGCAGCATACCTGCATGTGCTTAAAGGAGACATCTCACGGTGTCTTGGGCCACTGTGCCGGCATACCCCTGAATTTTGGGGGGCTTTATTGCTCACCCTTTAGCATGCATCTTGCTCAGCTACTTGCTACTTTGTGTTTATTAGTACTAAGCAGAATGTTACCATCAATTCCTAAGGAATAGCAAGAAGACCAGCACCTCTGCCAACCAGATTTTAAAAGGACTGAAGGACTGAGATAAGACAGTGAAGGTGCATAGCTACCCCTGTATGTAAAAGCAAACTGCTTCTGGTGGTCTATACCAGGGGCTAGCAAACTGTGGCCAGTGGGAATCCAGCCCACCACCTGTTTTTGTAAATAAAGCATTACTGGAGTACAACCATGCCCATTCGTTTACATTTTGTCTATGGCCTCATTTGGTAGAGTTGAGTAATTGCAGCAGAGGCTGTCTGGCTTACTGACCCTAACATTTTTACTACCTGTCTCTTTACAAAAAAAGTTTGCCAATCCGTGGTCAATACTAATAGGAATAGAGGGAAAAATTCACCCAGAGCAATAGCTTTGTGTCAGGTAGCGGGGGCCTTGTTGATTTGCTCAAACAAAAAGGTGATATATGAAACAGCGGCCACAGTTGGAGTCACCATCTGACTAATTGTATGATAATTGATTGCCAGTCTCCACAATGATATGT